AACCCGGCCCAAAAACTTGCCTCCCTACCTTGCTTGTCCATCAACATTGTTTGAAAAAAAATTTGACCATTGAAAGTAAAACAAATATGTAGTAAGCATACATTGCATGTTTTCCGGTAAATAAACTTGCTTTGAAGTGTAGAATTGTGCAAATAATAGATATGTGAGTATGTGTTAATCTAGTTGTGTGTTAATCTAGTTGTAATGTGTTCATTATATTGTGATATAGTTTCTCTCTTATTTATAAATAAAATTATTTATTATTTGTNAATTTGACCATTGAAAGTAAAACAAATATGTAGTAAGCATACATTGCATGTTTTCCTGAAAATAAACTTGCTTTGAAGTATAGAATTGTGCAAATAATAGATATGTGAGTATGTGTTAATCTAGTTGTAATGTGTTCATTATATTGTGATATAGTTTCTCTCCTATTTATAAATAAAATTATTTATTATTTGTTTTTTTATTTATTTTAACTCTATTTTTAATTCAAAAGTATAATTTACAAAAATACTAAATTATAAAATTTTTAAAACTAAGATGTGTATATATATATAAGCCTGTCCAGTAGGCCCGCTCAATGAGTGATGGGTTGAGCTTAGGGTCGCCTACTCTTACCTGAAGTTCGATCNAATACTAAATTATAAAATTTTTAAAACTAAGATGTGTATATATATTTAAGCCTGTCCAGTAGGCCCGCTCAGTGAGTGGTGGGTTGAGCTTAGGATTGCCTATTCTTACCCGAAGTTCGATCTGACCCGCCTAATAACTCACCTTGGTAATGGTTTGAGTCTATCCTACCCCAAGCCCAACCCAAAAAACATTTCACGGGCATAACCCAGCCCGGTCATGGACACCCCTATTTAATTACGACACCTAAAAGGGGTAATTTAATTACAACACCTAAGTTATTTTAATTTTAAAAATGGAGAGTCCACTAGAGAGCATCCAAATATGTGATGTGGTCTGTGTGACATAATTAAACTGATTTTTCTTTTCAAATTATACCTGAATTTTAATTTTAATTTATTAAGTAATCAATTAATTTTGTCATATACATAAAGGTATATAGACACAATTTATGTCATCTGGGTTTGGGATGATTTTTGTCCTAGAATTTGGTTGGTAGCCATTTTTTTTTTAAAAAAATTAACTTTTAATTATAACACATTTTTTTTCCTTCTTTAAACTGATTTAATATAATTAAAGGTAATTTAGGTAGTTGTAAAAATTGTAAATTTTTCTCTCTTTCATACAATAAAATGAATTTTTTTAAAACTTGCTTGCAATTTTTCATGTTAACCAAATACCTGCATAAAAATATTTGTTTTTCTTTCATATTACTTTCTATTATTTATCCTTTCCATTATTCTTTTTTTTTCTTAACCAGATGGACCTGAAGGATGATTTAATATTAGAATATAAAAAAACTGGTGGACAACTTGTACGATACACGAAATTTGTTATACCTTCCTACCATCACCCTACCACTAAATCTTCTCAAATCCAATTCTTATAAATGTGTTAAAATGATGTTAATTTAAATTTTAAAAAGATAATTAAAATTTTAAATTTAAAGTAATTTAAAAAAAATGGTGAAAGTGATACAAAAGACACATGAAATAATTTAATTAGGGTCAACTAATTACATATTTCACAACTCTAATAATTAAGTTTTTAAGGAGGGAATTCTTGGTCTCTTTCCTTAATTTGATTCTTATATATATATATATATATATATTGAAATGAAATAAGGCCAAAACCAAGTAAGTCTTTTTAATACTGACAGCTTTATATAGTAATTTTAAGCACAGAGAGAGAAGAACAAATTAATAAAAAGAAAATTAAAAGATGTTTTAATCCATTTGACTAACTTAGACCTATTTTCCCCCGCCCAAATCTTTTTTACAAGGATTGTTTGGTTGTGGGTACAATTTTTTAGACTTATTTGAGGAAAAATATATGTATAAGTTGTTTACTTTATTAAGTTCAATTTTAATAAAATATTTTGTGTTTAGGGACAAAATTCAAATGAAATCAATTTTTTTTTTACCTAAATACCCTCCCTTAAATTATATATTATTGATTTACAGTTATATATCTAATCATATATGTAAAGATTTCATTAAACTCTCTCACTATTTTTCACCTATTTTTCTCCATCTCTCTCTCCCCCATTACTTTCCCCATCTTTCTCCTATTTTTTCTCTCTATCTATCATTGATAATTTATTTTCTTTTCAAATATGTAAAATTTAATTTATTTTTTCATACGTCTCCCATATTTTCTCTTTCTCTCTTCCTATTTTTCTCTATTTATATCACCATTATAATAACACAATTACACTAATCAGTTATAATTGTCCTATAATACACAAAACAGTTACTCATGAGTTCTAATAAACCAAACAGTTACACCAAACAATTACACAAAATTATAATACCAGCATAATTTGTCATTCAGTTGTTTACATAAATTAAATAGTTGAACCATTTAGTATCGCGACATTATTATACTAATTATATATATCAAATTTAGTATAATAGTAAAGTCTTTTGTGTAATAATAAATTCAATTTGATGTATATAATTGGTGTTATTATGTCATAATACTAAATGATATAATTTTTTGATTTATGTAAATAACTGAATGACAAATTGAGTTGGTGTTGTAATTTTGTATAATTGTTTAGTGTAGTTGTTTGGTTTATTAGAACACATGAGTAACTATTTGATGTATTTATAAGATAATTGTAACTAATTGATGTAACTGATTAATGTAATTGTGTTATTGTAATGTTGACTTAATGAGAGAGAATAAGAAAATAGAGGGAGAGGGAGTGAGAGAGAGAAAAAATAAGGGAGAGATAAAAAAATTAAATTAAATTTTTATATATTTAAAAATAAATAAATTATCCATGTGAAAGAAAGAAAAAATAGATAGGGAGAAAATAGAAAAAAATAATGGAAGAATAATAGTGAAAGAAGGAGAGAGGGTAATAGAATAATATATTACCGTAATTTAAATTACCTTTTTTACAAAGTAATTGTTGAGTGGTAGTGCTATACAACACGTGTATAGATAGATAGGTTCTCCACATGTCTAAGTTACCACTAAAATTTGAGCAGGTGGCAGCGTTGTCATTTCATACCCATTGTCCTTACCTGTAATGGTGTTTTCCAAAAGTGCAAAATGTTGCTTTATTATTTGTGTCCTCTGTCTCACACTCTCTCTCTCTCCGTCTACACATTGTTCGCCCCCAATAAGCTGAACAACTAGAGTGAAAGAAATTGTGGAGGAAACCGCCTTCCTCGTCTGTAAACTCCATGCAAGTTCGCCTCGTAGTTATAGGTATGGTAGTATGTATACGTGTGGTATCTGTGCAGAATATGGATATTTATTCAACTATTGTTGTTCTCTTTACCAATTTAATATCCGCATGTCATGTTTTACGGCGGAGAGCGTGATTATACATAAGTTCTTGAGTACCTTTTAGTCCTCATATTTAGGCACACAGACATGCCCTACTCGCACTACAAAAAAGTTGATGTTTAGTGAAGAAAAAATTCGTCACTAAAAGCATAAAATTTTTGGTGATGAATTTTTTTTGTCGCCAATTTATCGTGGAAGACTCGTCACTGAAAGTTTTGCACGACAAAATTTGAAATTTATGGCCAAAATTGATTTTTTTGGCAACAAAATAGATACTCGCTGCAAAAGATTAAATTTTCAACGACGGATATGTCATTGCTAAAAATGCATATGTTTATCGGAATACATTGAAGTTCGTCATAGAAAAACTGTAGATATTTTTACTTATGACTTTTTACAACAATTTATATTCGTCGCCAAAAGTGTTCAAGACTTTTAGCAGCGACATTTATTTGTTGCCAACAATCTCTTATTTTAATTTTTCACATTTGAAAATTGTCAAAAAAAAAAATTACCGAAATTATAAAACATCAATATCCATAAAGGCAATACCAAGAAGTTCGTTAAATGCACTTTTATTCAATTAAAGCAATATCTTGCCAATACAATCATCCTCATTTAAATAACTTAATATTGTGTCTAATACATGAAATATTAATTAACTATATTGATAATAAAAAAAAGTAAAAAATTAGGTCCACAACTTCATTGTATCTTTGGTACCCCCAAAATCTAACGCATGTGAGATTCAGCATAGCATTTCCAATTCCTCATGTCATCAACATTTGATGTAATAATATCACTTCATAAATAATTCTTGTACTCTTCAAAAAAAAGGATAAGGCTCAAAAAGTTTATCCCGATCAACTTTATTTGCCTCCAAAGCCTCCAAGCACCTGTAAGAAAAAGAATTGAAAAAAGATACTATAATGGAAAGAACTAAATTAAGAAGTTTCAAGATCAAGTAGAGTGATAATCATTAAACCTGATTTTGAGCGCTTATTCAACCAAAGCGGCGGTCAAGGCAAATTGTACTTTGTTAACTAAAACTATCAACCATCCTAATCTCCCTCATCTTCATCTATCAGTATTCTAAATTAACCAATTTTAAATAGTATTGTGGTATTTGTAGTATTTTCATTTTCACCAAATATTAGAATTATTGTTGTGTTTGGTTTAAATATTTTATGCATACGAAATGCTCAATTACAATGCCAGAGTCTTTGAGACGAGTTTACTCATACTAAAATATTTGTAGTAATTTTCTTATTGTCAAGTAAATGTTTTGTTTAGAATTTTGTAGTTCTAGAGGTAATGAAAGTGAGAATAAAGTTAATCAACAAATATGAAAAGATATTGGTCTTTTAGTGGCGAAATTAAAATTGCAGCTAAAAATATATCCATTAAAAATAAAACAAAAAATTATATTTGTTGCTGAAGATATCGGAGTTAATCTATTTAGCGACAATTTTAAAGTTGCGACAAAAATGCAATACTAATCCGCCACTATTTTTTTGATACCAAAGGTTGTGGCTAAGTATTTCCCAATCCACATTAAAACGTTTCAAACTCTCATGCTCTCCCTCTCTCCCTCTGTTATCTATCGCTTCTCTATCCGGCCGGTGACTTTCTCCGGCCGATGACTTTTTCTGGCCGATGACTTGGACTCGATATCTCCTATATGCGTTTGCTCATTCACTTTTTCTCTCTCTCCGATGACTTGCACTGAGTTTCTCTAGATTGGTGCTTTTGAGAGGTAAATTTCTATTTTCTTTTTATATGATTCATTACTTTAATTTAGTATAATTTTTTTGAAACATATTGCAAGACAATTAGTAGCACAGGAACTAGACCGAAAAACTGAATCTGTTAGTTCTATGGGGATTATATGTGGATTAATGGTTGATAATAAAAATCATAGGCTCTTTGTGGTGTACTATGGCAGTACGAGTGATGTGGATATGGTGTATTGTGTCGCCGTCCTCTTTGTGTTGAAGAACCACAAGGTAGGGTTTTCCTTTGGATTTTTTTTTTGTTTATCTATCTCTGGTTTTGTTTCTCTCGGATTGGGTTTATATCCAAAATCTAAAGGATTTGGAATGTAAATCATTTGATTGGGGAAAAGGCAATTGATCCTTGTATAAGCCCCTATTGAGTTAGTAGGGAGAATTGGACACAATTTTCTCTTGTTAAGGAATAATAGAATCAACTAAAACTAATTGAGAAGGAGGGCAAAATATGTCCCTTGTTTTTGCTTATATGTTAGTAAATTAGGTCCCAATAGCATTGCTCTTGATGGGGTTTACAATGAATCCAAATGTCACAGGAAATTAGGTTAGCAAATTATCTCGGTAAATTAGGTTCCAATAGCATTGCTCATTCAAATATCTGTTCTCTGCTTGCTGCTCTCTCTTCTCTCCTCTTCAGGTATTCAATTATTTTTTTTCTTATTCTTCAACTTCTCCTCACCAACTATCTGGTTTTGATGAGTAATTTTAATCAGTTATGAATACTTTTGTTAGTAAGATATTAATTGGTTTACACTACCTCCAATCAGCAGATTAGATTTATTTGGGCGCAACTGCGATAGTTTTGTTTGGGTGCAACTAACAACCTCTTGGTGGTGTTCATTCTAGTGCCATAATTGTCAGTTTCTTTCTTATTAATCAAGAATAAACCTAAGCTGTACTTAATTACAATTTACTTTTGATGGACTTTGCTGTTTTTGTTTAGGGATTTTTGTTTTGTGTTTTGTTGTTCCTCTGGTTTCAATCACTGTGAAGCTCCCTTTGTTCAATCAGCCTTTCACGGCTATGTGGTTTGATCCAAGCACACAGCAGTCATTAAAAGACTGCCTATTGTGCTACAAATACCCAAAACAAAAAGTACCTTGAAGAATCTGTTGAGGGTACTAACCTGACATGATCCCTTCTTACCTATTTGGTTTAAAGGCATCTGGAGGTTCGTCAAATGAACTTAGTTTGGAACCTTGCTTTGAAGTATAGATAAGCATTACCGCTTATCTTATTAGGCTTTATGCCTTAGGAACATCATATAACTACGGGGAGACATAGTTTTTGTATTGGAATGCCTTTGCTTGCCAACACCAAAGTTTTCTGCTTAAAGATGATTCTGATCTGCCACTAGGACATAGAACATCATAATCACATTCAATATACATACATTTATATGTGTATTGTTTCTATTAAGGTATCTAATGCATTATGGCGTGCTTCAGTTTCAGCTCACTACCTTCTGCACCTTCTGCCAGCATAAAAAAGAGTTGGGGGCAAATTCTTACTTCTCTTTATTCTGTATGGGTAAGCTATCTTTAATTGAAAGTTAATCAAGTTTGGGTATTGTGTCATCGTCATCTTCATATCTGAGAGATGTCGGTGTGTGGGCTTTTCCCCACAAGTCATACACTTTTCATTGGAGACCATAGACCCTTAACCCAAGCACCTAGACCAAGACCACCTGTTTTCTATTCTTCTCCTTCTCCTTCTCTTTCTGCTTCTGGTGCTACTTCTCCTAATCCTTACCACCCCAGACCAACGGAGATAAATAACTCAAAAGCGAGACTGTCAGTTCTTGTGAGCAAAAGAATGGTGAGCCTCTCCATTTTAGCAGTTATATTATCTGCTCCCTTGACAAGCTTCTCTAAATCAATTTCTGAAGATTTGGAGCTTGAAAGATACACTGATCTGAAAGAGGGTTTCACCCTCCTCAAACCCTCTTCTTGGATTAAGGTTGATAAAGCAGGTGCAACTGTTCTATTTGAAGAGGCAAGCAAGGGAGTTAATAATGTCGGAGTAGTGGTTAGCCCTGTTCGTATTATGAAACTCAGTGATTTTGGGAGTCCTCGATTTGTGGCAGATAAGCTAATTCAGGCCGAAAGACGGAAGGAAAGCACAAAGGATGCTGAGGTGATTGCTGTTTCAGAGAGATCTGGCCCGGGAGGCCTACAAGTCTATGAGTTTGAGTATGAAGTTGATAGCACCAGAGGAGGAATGAAGAGGGTTTTTTCCGCTGCATTTGTGGCATCTAAAAAGCTCTATCTTCTAAATATTGCTCACTCTGACAAACCAGAGAGTCCTCTAAACACAGAAAAGAGAATGATTCTTGAAGAGGTTCTTCATTCCTTTGATGTTGTACCATTGACTTGAATGATCATCACGACATATTGTTTTTCTCCCTCTATTTCAGGTTCCTTTTCTCTAGTGCTTGATTCCAGAGGTATGCCACTCCTCCCCACTTCAATTTATTTTGAAGTGTGGGGTTTTCAATAGCTGTCATCAATGCTTTCGCTTTACTTTTTTTCTTCAGCAATAATTATTTTTTACCTCTTTATTATTTCTTCTCTTCATTTTTTTGTAGACAATAAGGGATCCGTTACGGTCTATTAAGGAACATAGTGTTTGGGAAATTTTCTTCATATGAAAATGTTGAGCTAAAAAATGAACTGAAAGATAATTACCGCTGCTTGTTTGAGGGACTTGCTTATCTTGTTCCACAGTCCAACAAAAAGGAAAGGACAGTTTGGTTAAGGACAGTTTGGTTACTGTTGGGTTATAGTTAGAGTTAAAGACCAATAGAATTAATGGTGTCTGAAACCATGGGTAGAAACGGTAAGTTCTCTTTGACCAAAAGTTAATTATAACATTGACTATGCTTCTAATTTTTATTTGATTATTAGTTCAAGTTAAGGACCAATATTATTGGTTTCTACTGGTAATATGCTTCACTCATATATTGGTAAGAGGGGTGGGTGCTCAAGTGTGAGTAATAGGCGAGATATAAGATGTGAGAGATGTCTTTCATGTGTAGGTATGACTTACAATTTATAAGTGTCTTCTAACAGATTCAGACGTCTTATAGTAACAGAAAAACCAATTTAGTAGAATGGGCGCCATCCTTGCAATAGATGAGGCAGTTGCAGAGAGGGCGTAGAGATCTCCTCAAGACTTGGTCCATGGATAGCGTGGCAGACCTCCTCACCTTAAGATGACATTGTTGACTCTTTGACTTTATGATGACTTGGCTCTTAGGGTTTTGGTAAGCCTGACTAGATTTAGGTCTCTTTTGGGTCAGACCTATTGGGGCTTATCTGGGTTGGGACTGATCTGGGCTGGGACTATTATCTGAGTTGGGGCTTGGGCTGGACCCATCAGATGTGATGCTTGCCAGTTCAGACTAGTCCACACCTGTGCTCTACTCCCATATACCATCTGGCATCAATGGGACAAACATCCCCTCATCCTGTGCTATCCTACATTTAGCAACCATATTGATGAGTCTTGTTGTGAAATGTGTGAGAAATAAATAAATGTTAACTGTTGGATCCACTATTGTAGTGATTGTGATCAATCGTTTCATCACAAATGCATCAAAGACCAATATTTAAGTGTGGAGGCCTCTTTGAAGTTAATTGTCACCCACACCCTCTAACATTTGTATGAAAGACTAAGAAAAAGTCTTCATATTATTGATGTGGTGCTTATTCTAATAGTGGTAGGAAGACCTATATTAGAATGTGGAGAGTCTAATAATACATTATGTCTAAAATGTATTACTATGAGTATTTTGACTTAACTTTTGTTATAAATTCTAATGGTTGAGAGGATCATGGAAATGTATTATTTGTTAAGCAATGTTGTAGTCCACAAACACCCCATAAAACAGGATAATGCTTGAATAGCGAAGAGCACACTAAATAAAGCCTATGCAATGAATATCATTTCCGTTTTGCCGTAGTGAGATAAAGAACATAGTGGAATAGTCAAATATTATTTGTCCTAGTTTGTAATTGGAAGTGAGGAAGCTTGCGCCATTAGGCAAAAACAACATAAAATGACATCATATTATTTACAAAAAAATGATGTTACTCATATCTAATTTATTGATTTAATTTTCGGATTTAATCAACCAAAATTGTTGGATTGATATTATATTTCATCCAATATCGAGATTTCCTGCTAATTAATCTAATGACTATGATGAATCAATCAATAAATTAGGTTCAAGGATCCACTACCTATTCAAGATTTTTTATCCTCATTTTCAACCTTTCTTTGAGCATATTCCAATAGAAACCGCTTCCCATCAATAGAAATTTTTTTAAAAAAAAATTACGGTTAGCAACAACCCCATTCCGACTGTGGTCCTTAAAAACATTTTTTTTTTTGTTGTTGTTTTGTATTTAATTTCATCCCTCATGTTTTATACTTCTACACCTTAATCTTGTTAGTAATAGTTGTCTAATTCTAAATAGAAAATGCCACTTGTTGTGCATATGATACTTTTGAGGGCATTGACCGAAAATTATATTTTACACTTTGAAAGATTTTTTGATTCTCGGTATGCATTCTCAAAGTCATGCAAAATAAACTACTCAAAACCACTCCATGGCCGCTTCTCATAATTTAAAAAAATAACAAAGAGATTTAACCCAAAAAAAATAAAAAAAATACTAAACTAACTATAAACGAAGGGAAAATACTGACCCAACCAGTAAAAGGGAAAACCAGCAACTACAAATACCCTAGTTTTATATGCTCATCACAAGGTTATAAGAATCTGGTGTTGGTGTTCTTACTGGGTTGATTAAGCATTGCACTAGTAACCTTTTAAACTAAATTCATTAAATATCTTTTCTTGTTAGGAAACGAAAATGTATGGTTCCAACCATAATCCTATATTAGCCGCTTGGGTAACACACATAAATTGTTCACAAATCATGCACATCATGTAAACAAGGATTGTGTTACGAGAATCAAAACTAGAGATTCTCCATATTAAATATTTTCTTTTTTACCTTCATATAGTTTGAAAAAAATTCAAGACATCTGTATTTTTTCAGTTAGATATTGGTGTAGATTGGTTATTCTTTTAATTGTTTCATCCTCAGAGTTCCTCCATGAACACGATGTTGGAACAACAACAAAATGGCACAATTTTGTAAGTGATACGATGTTGTTTTGTTGCCATTGGTGGAACAATCACCTCTACAGTACAACGTTGGAGTTGTTCCTTAAATATAGTGAAGGGCAATTCTCAATGGGCCACCCTAGTGCTATGGACCTTTCAGCTCTTTCTTAGGTAGTTGGTGAAGCTATTTGGGCTTTTTGAGCAAGCCCTGCTGGACACTTTAGAATCACAGTTCAGACATACTAATGTGTTATGGGCTTGATTCAAGATAGAGGGGTCCAATAAATAGATTTTTTTTTTCTTCTTCTTCTACTAGGTGGTGTGTCTTGGGTCTGCAACCTCTTTGCGACGTAGATACTAAGGTAACTTAGCACATCACAGTTGGTGTCGAAAATAGTGACAAATGTCCTGCAGTGGAGGTTCGAATCCTTTGAATTAAGGGCCTTGGGTCTACATAGGATACCAGAATGCTATAGTGGGAGGAATGAGTATATATAATCACCTTCACTTCAACTACTAAACACCAAGGGGAACGATGCAGTAGTACTGTCAAGACAAAAAATTGCAGTAAGTGGACTGAATTGCTCAGCATTATCTTGTTTATTAAGAGGAGAGAGAGAAGTTTGGAACTTTTTATTTTATTCTGGCGTTTTAGTGTGTTTTTGTTTCTTTGGACTTTTTTAGTCTAGAATTCTTTAGACCATTCTAGTTAAGAGCTGATAACCCTAACAAATTTTAGGGTCCTTAGCGATTGTTTAACTTGCCAGTCTTATGGGCGCCGCCATGGACATTGGTGGCCAATTTTGTTTTGTCAAGGTCCTTATATAAGTTATACTATCGGTAATTTGTGCCTGAAAATACGGTGCAAGTAAAAAGTGATGGATTTGAAAAGAGAGAGAAATTCAATATGAATAATTTTGAGAGGGATGTTAGTGACCGTTGAATGAGCTTATTGAAATCTGCTCTGTTTTATATTATAGATTTAATTTACGAGGGCAAATTGTATTTTGTATATATAAGAATTTATATTTTGTACCTTCAAAGATTAGATTTTTGTATACCTCAAATATTAGATTTTTCACATTGTACCCTCAATGTTTTGAAAGCGTTTCATTGTGGACTTTTCGTTAGTTTCTGTTACTAGTTTTGTCACAAAATCAATGAGGTGATTTTTAATAGAGTAAACAATGAAAGTTAACAGAAGGGTCACATTGTTATACTTTTAATACATTGAGAGTACACTATGAAAAATTTAATCTTTAAGCGTACAAAATATTTTAGACCATGTTACTATCATATCATTAAATTAAAAAAATTACATTAATTTTTTCAGGTCCTAAAAACATTACTCATTGAGAAAGCCAAAGTTTCCTTTCTCCTTCATGATGTCCACCGTGGGAGCTGCACATTTTTTTTTGGGNTAATGTATAAAGTGATAGTCTTAATATAGACGTCCAACAGTTAAATCCATAACAATATTATTGGACTATATCACTATTACATCATTAAATCAACAAGTTCAATCAATTTGTTCAGATCCTAAAAACATTACTCATCGAGAAAACCTAAAGTTTCCTTTCACCTTCACGATGTCTACCGTGGGAGCTCCACATGGGAGCCCACCTTCAATTATATATGTATACTAGAAATTGCATGTCTTTAGGCACGTTAAATATAAAAAAATAATATTTATAAAAAATTAGGATTAAAATTCAGCAACTCTTCCTCAGAATCATACAATCAAAAAATAAATTATTTAGCATCCCTAATTCAGAGGGAAGAAAGATATAGGAGAAAGAATACTTATTTTGGCATTTGTTAGCTTGAAAAGGTACGAAATTATTATGGTTTTAAGTGGGTAGGGTTTTTTTTTTTTTGGGGGAAGAGTATTTTCAATCGTGAAGTTAGTCTACCACAATAGTGACTGAGTGTAACACCCAAAAATACACCCTAAAAATCATTACTATTTATAATCATTCATATCATGCGAGCAACTAAATGAAATCCATAAAGTAAACAAAATTCCATTCGTCATCCATAACAACTAAAGCATCATCCAAAAATAAATATGCCAAACTATGACTTTACAACCAAAAGACTAAATATTCTCTTGCAGCGAAATAAGTAAAACATTATGCTTAACATTGTCTCCAAATGAACCACCCAGTTTAGAATATAAAGAAAACAACTCTAAACTTCCATCTCAGGATCCCCGTTCCCCTCAATTTGAGCTTCCCAATGTACCAGCCTCTCAGATCTGAGTTCTTCCTCTAACCC